AGATTATGGTGGTTCAAAAAAGTATTTTAGTGTTCTTTAACTACTTCAGATATCCAATTTTCTGATTTGGGGTTTGAATTAGGTATTTTATCTTACTTATTTTTATATTCACATGTGATTTGGGCATGGTTAAGCAGGTAAATACTGTTTCTTTGAATATTAATGTTTATATTAGCTTGTTTGTCCAGCCATGTGTTTATTCCATTCTTTGTATTCTTTAGAATATGTAATTTAACCTTCATAAGATGGAGCAGCATAATAGTAGTAGCTTAATGGTAGTACTGGCTTACTATTCGTAGTAGTAACTATAATAGCTGCTGTGTTTGAAATAAACTGTATTAAGTGCTTTACATACATAATCTCACTCTTTAGAATAATCCTATGAAGAGATTTTATTTCTGCTGATTGTATGGGGAAACCAGGACTCAGAAGTGAATTTGCTTATGGTCACAAAATTAGTAATGGTGGAGTTAATATTTAATTAATGTCTGCCTCCAAAGGCCTTGCATCCTGCTCCCCAGGCTGGATTCCAGGGAAAAAAATTTAGCAGTGCATTTCTCTGTCTTTCATGGGTTGGTTCATCCGTTCAGGGATGCTGTGTGCTTGCTGACCGGCCCGGCATCGCTCCGTCTGGACATCGCAGCGCTGCTTGCTTCAAAGTCACTGTCACTGTGAAGGACCAAATCCCGTTTATTGTCGATCACTTCTTGAAAATGATGATTTTGAAATACTCAGTCTTAATCTATAATACTGAAGGGTTTTTTGTTATCTAATGAGTAGGGTGTGGGTACTAGTGTGTTTTCTGAATAATTTTACTATTTTACTGGGATATTCTTACTGTTCTACAGTTATAATGATTATCGTATGAGGATGACTGTAAAAATGGAATCTGAAAGCAACTTTAAAAGTTTTTAGGCTAGTTTCAGGTAGAGAATGAGTATTTAGTAAAGTGATGCCATCTGTATGTGATACACACATTTAAAAATAGTATTAGCTTAATTGTGCTTACACATTCCCTGAGTGTTCTGCGAGGTGCCTGGATATGGATTTTGCAGTCATTTTTTATAACTTTTAGGGTCTTCTTCCCTGTCTTGAGCCTTCTGAAATTCCATGATTATGAGCTTCAACGTGGATCTTCTTTTTTTGATTTGTGTGCTGGCTGCTTACTTGGTGAACCCTTTTATAGGAAATGCATGCATGTTGTGGTGTGTGTATGTTTATCTCCTGGAAGTATTTTTCCCTTTCCCTTTTTTTCTTTTTTCTGGAGCTTCTGGTATTATGATACTGGATTTGCTGGACTGGCCTTTTAATATTCCTGTCTTATCTATTTCTTTTATCCTATGGAATATTTCTGAAGTATTTTATTAATTTTATCTTATGGTTCTTCTGTTGAAGTTTTTACTTTTGATCTCTCTATTCTAATTTGCAAAAGTAATATATCATTCTTGACTTATCCCTTTCCTAGGACCCTCTCGTATGTCATGACTATGATATCTTTCTTCAACTTTGGGAATATTTATAGGTTCTTTGAATGATTCTTTGGCTCCCAGCACCTCTTCAAAGCTCTTTAATTCTGTTTGCTTATTTTTCATGTCTTGTCCATGTTCGAGGCTTTCTCTGAATGTCTGATCACCTTTTTGTGTCTGTTCTGTTTTTAAAGAATGAAGTTCTAAAGTGATGATGATGGAAATGCTTTGTGGAAATGCAAGAGTTTCTTGATTTGAGGCTTCCCTTTAGTGTGACACGCAGAAAGCGACTCTTTCATTGGTACCTACCAGATGAGACAAAGCATAGGAAAAGAAGGGCTTCATGGGAGGAGTAAATAATGGTTTATCAGGAGGAAGAGTCTGTAGTAAGACATCTGCTGTTATGTTCACATGTGGTGCACAGTGATTAACGGGAACTTGCAACTCTTTTCCAAAGGGGTGCAAGCTATGTTGTTATTTTTTACCTACTAGTTGAAGCAAGTTTAGATTGGCTTAACAAAGCAACTCCTTTCTTTGAACCCGATTACTTTTTTGTGTGTTGTGAGAAAAGAGGCAAGGTTTAAATTAATTGTCCCTTGGAATGATTCTACTTGTGAACCTCATGTCATATCCTGGAAAAGTTAGGGAAGGCTGAGAACCATTGTTGTTAGGGAGAATATACTTAGAAATGAAAAGGAACTTTTGTATTTCGTTATGCGATTCACATAGTTCACAGATGTCAAAGGGTTCCAGTCATTTTTACTTTCACATTTACATTCATAAATATACATTTATTTCCCACTTTACTCTGTCACATCAGTATCTGTTACTGTTTAGGTTGGCCATGAAAGACTTCTGTGAGGAAAAATAAGCATTTGGCAGGTCGGATTGGTGGCAGACAGATTGGACTGCAAAGTGCTCTTAGACTACTACGTGTCTGGGGGCTTTACTGGTTACCTGCCATAAATACGTTCTTTAAACAGGTAATATTAGCTGATGCTCAGAAAATTCTGGTAAATGCAGTATTTGGAGAAATAGAAACCAAATATTCCATTTTATCCTGAAACCATGCACTGCTAATGATCACTGTTGTATTTAGCTGTAAATTGTATTTTAAAATTGATGAACACATTTTCTTTATTCAGAAAGCTTAACATTGGTCAGATTTCTGTCCAAATAAGGTTTAGTAGAATTGGAAAACTTTCCCTTTAGGGACAGGTATTATGAAGAAAACCTAGTTAATACTTTTTCCTGATTTCTGTAATTCACGGGGATAAAATCACATTGTTCTGAGGGTGGATAAGTATAGGTGTGTAGGGCCCACGTTCCTGGAGAAACAAGGTTCAGTGGCTCATAACTAGGTTGTGCATCAGAACCACCTGAGGGAACTCCCCCCACATTAGTAAGCAATTTAGGACAAAAGCAATAATACACAAAGGTGGAATAGTGGAACCGAGTAGGGGGACACACATACACACCCCCTTAGACGACCTGATTCAGACTTGGAGCCAGAACTTGGAAACTGTTAAAGATGAATTCTTATAGAAATCAGCTCTCTAGGTAATTCTGATGGATAGCTATGATTGGGTAGCAGTGTGACAGGGGACTAACATAGAGCTAGATAGATAAATGTCTCAAGACAAATAATATTTACATGATTTCTCTTGGCTGTGCTCAGACCACCTCCTTATCTGGATATGTTCTAGTGGTACTTTAATAGGTTTTTACTTTCTGGCTTGTTAAGGTTCACATGAAATTAATGCTGAATGAGCTTCCAACGTGGTGCCTTGTGTTGTTAGAGCTTTGTCCTTTGCCAGGCATCTCATTGTCTGATTTGCTTCTGCTGACACGCTTGTGAGGTGGTTGGTGTGATCTCCCCTACATTAATGTACATGGAAGGCTACATCTACAAGGTGGCATTTGTGCAATTTCTTGTAATTGCAAGTGGAGGAGGTAGAGAATCTGGAACGAATATGTACTGATTGCAGAGTATCCTAAGACCTCTTTTCCCCTGTGGTTTATCCCTAACAGCTTACTTTTTGACTGTTTTGTATAGAACTGGCATGTAGGTAACTTACTATTGCTCAGGATGCTGATTTAATATGAGCCATTAAATTAGTAAAAGTGACATATCAGTTTTAGAAAAAAGTATAATGAAGCTATATCATGTTCTCTGCCAGGATGTTTTAAGAACTAAAGGTGGAAGTCTTTGTTTAGATGCGACAGAATTCCTAGCTCTCTGTGTGCTTCAGATGAGGCGCTTTCTCAGTGCAGTTAACACAGTGTCCACGTCACTGAGGTACAAATGATGAAGACATTTATCAGCGCACATAAGAGTTCTGGAGGAAGGTGAGGCCAGCGTTGGCTAATTCAGTAGTCAGCTGTCAGTGCTCCTGTGTTCTCTCTCTGATTCTTGCTTCTGTCATGGCCACAGATGGCTGCATTAGGTCTGAGCATCATATACAATAAAATCACAAAGTAGGAAGAACAATTGAAACTA